GAATTGCAATTAAACGTGCGCCTTGTCACAATTTGTGTACTTGTCACCTGTGCCCTGTGCTAATTTCTTGAACATTTTCTCTACAGGTGTGACCCATTCTCCGTTCTCAGACACTCTATGAGTTGAGATCAGGATACGGTATTTGCAGTCACAACTCCTGGTCCTCTCTAATAGCTGTTTCCGAAACAGAGGCTCTAATGACTTGGCAAGCGAGCAAACAAGAACCGTGCATCTGTCGCCACACAGCACTTCACGTCTTCAGTGCTGGAATGTCTCAGATGTAGCACATGGAATCTGAGTTTTAATCTACATGAACGTTGCGCCTCGGCCCAGTGGGAATGAACGCTGTGTTGGAGGACCATGCTGCATACCCCCACCAAAACACTGTGGATTCCAGTGGAGCAGCTGAACGTGGCCATGACACAGAGGAATACATTCCTCCTGATCCTTGCAACAACGAATGTCGCAACGTCCGCTACTGCCAAGGAGATAATGCACTGTCCAATGTACCATGATATGCATGGTGATGAAACACGCAAAACCTCTGACCTGTTGAGAATGGAGTAAAAGGGCGTGGATGGCGCCTGTCGCAAGTAAAGGTAACGACGCTTACGTATGCGCGTACTGTACAATCATGTAGGTGGTTCGTCCCTGATGTAGTTCGACTGCATGCCAGCATGGTGCTGGTCCACACGTCGCGGATCCACTGTACTGTATGTCCACGAAAGCACATTGTTTCACGAATGTTCCTAGTTATAGAACACAACAATACGCGCCATGAAGCCCATGACTACAGAGTACAGTCCGTAATGCCTGGTCGCCTGGTCGCCTGCAGTGTAGCGGTGTTACCTCGGTGATGGGTGATCTTGACACAGGGAGTACAATGTAAGTTCGGTCGGCTAGGAGCGGTGCACGCCCAGCACATGTAACTAACTTGTTACATGTCATAGGTGATCGTGTGTGCCAATAAAGGACTGAAGAGTGAGGTGCCTATCCGGACAACAACACGAAACACAGCTTGCGTCTGAAACATGCGGAGTGCCTCCGGCAGTGTCCAATGTGAACAGGGAACATTTGTCAAAGCAGGCAGGCTACATACTAGTACCTGAACGTACGTCCCACCCCATGGCCCATGTCCAAAGCTTGGTCATTTTCAAAGCCTAACACAACCTTTTGGCGTCTAAAACTGTGTGGGGTTGGCCCCCAGGCTACGTGCCCAGGAATCCAGCAGGACAAAGACAAGACGCCAAAAGGCCGGGTTAAATCGACGCAGTACAGATGTCGACTCGTCCAAACGAATAATAGTATAGTCATGTACACTATACTCCCACACGTTCTGAATTCTCCACAAGTACATTACAACGACGAGGAAAGGAAATAATATTAATTAATTGAAAATGTCATGTCGCAATTCTCTGTACAGCACACTGACAGCCTCACTGCCTCAGGCTTCAGGAGGTGGCCCACGCAGAGGTAACAGGTTGGACAGTGCGTGCTGGACCCCATCCCATCCCTGCCACAGTCACACGAACACATACTCATGCACCATGTAGCATTCATTAGTTCTTCCCCGTGGATAGAGTGTGACAAAGTGGAGTGAGTGAAGTGAGGCCTGGCCGGATGGTGGGCCGATGTGATTGGATCTCCAGTTTTCCCTCTTTCTCTTCATACCGCTACCGCTACACTTACAATATTTCTATACACTGTTTCATGATAGTTGTGTTCGTCTGAAGACAATGTGTACTGTAAGAAGGGATAACCCGATTCACATAACAAGCAGCAGTGCGCGTTTAGTGTGAAGTCCACAGCTGTTCTTGATTTCCATCGTAAACGCAGGTCAGTGTAGCACTGAAAGTCTGAATGCACTGGCTCGATGTTGTCAACAGAGGCATGCCTCTAAATCATTATTATTTTACTTTTTCACATCAACTACATGTACATGAACATGTACATTGTACATGTATGCGTGGTGTATCATTATTGCTACTTTGTAATAGCACCCGAGGGGCAGCGTGATCTATTCGTAACTATTGAGTATTGAGTATTGTATACAGGAATACTATGCACGGAAGTGTTAAAATCCGCCACAATCCATAAAGGCGTCAGTACAGAGTATGCGTATCCTATGCATTGTAGTGCATTCGCAGCTCACCTTTGCCTAAAACAGATGCCCTAACCATTCTAACGAAGAGATGCAGAAGTACATGTAACCAATTTCCTGCTCACATCACCGGCTCTAATACGCCGTAATGTGCCAAATCCACTTCTCTTTAAACAGCCTTTGGACAGCATGATTGTACTCCACGACACCACATCATATGCCTCGAACTGAATCAAATGTTTGCATGAATACGCACGCCTACTGGAATCAGGCATGCGTACAGTTATGCACATTATTCAGGATAAACAATAAACACCTTGGGAAGCCGTATACAGCACTAGCACCTCGCACGCCACAGTACTACATTGCATTTGTAGTACATGACTTTGTATATTCCTGGAGCATGAAATGAAATTCTCCAATTCCCTCAAAGGATAAAGGACCCCTGACCAGTGGCAAACTGGCAATCGTATGCGTGCCATCCGGCGTAAGGACCGCTTCAAAGTAGAAGAGTGGGAAGCTGGCGTGAGGCTGGGCTAGCCTGAGAAGGGATGGAGCATCAATACACGCATGTGGTTGAAGAGGAGACACTAACTTCTTGTGTGAGGGAACACTTGAGAACAATTATACATGTTCATGTATACCCGTCATGTCAAGAATGAGTTAGTGTGTTCCATGTGAGGACTCCCAGTGACTCCCATAGAGCCCCCATTGTCGTTGAAGTCGTGATGCAAAATGTAGTAGCAAGAAACCCAGGGAGCTCACCATAGGAGGATTCGTAACTTGCCAACTCTGATACCAAGAGTACATACTCTTGCTGATACTAGTAGTTTTCTCACACCGGCGGATCGGAGTAGAATACAACACGATATTGATAATACTACACTGTACAGACGTGGGGTAGGTCGGGGGAACTAATTACTTTTACAAATAAATTGTATCTCCCCAGGAGTAACAATACATTGTACATTGATAACACGGAGCTTTGCTGCACTATACACTTCATATCAAATCACCTTTCTTTACCGTCGTTGTCGTGGGCGGTATGTATACATGGATTCTAGTAACCAATGCTAGTTCCTATTACTGTACCGCCGAACGTCGGAAGCACTTATCAATAGAAGGAAAGATAGATCACAGCACAGATTGTAGGAAAGAATACATGCACTGTACAATGTAGATACGGACCTGATTGCATCAGAGAACACCCCATTTACACTAGCAGCGGATGTTAGTCCACTTCTCGTCCACGAATCATGGAATGACCGATGAATACACACAGGACATAATGTTACATGAAGTCTGTACACGTCTGTATACGTCTGTACACGTCTGTATACGTCTGTACACGTCTGTACACGTCTGTATACGTCTGTGCACGTCTGTATACGTCTGTGCACGTCTGTATACGTCTGTACACGTCTGTATACGTCTGTACACGTCTGTATACGTACATTTACATCAAGTACTGTATGTATATGTGAACAAGTAGTTAACAGCTGTCAATAGGTCGTCAAGCTAAATCGCTGCAGATCACATCGTCCCAAATCATTGCCATACACCGTACCAGACTCTTTCAATCGCAGAGTACAGTCCAGTACTGTAGTTCGATTCAGCGAAGTAGTTCCTGGGAAAGTATGTTGAATTTAAACTGAGTTCATACTTCTGCTTTAACGCAGATGTAACACTCTAAAGTCTATTTCATGAAATCCTCCTAGGAAGCCTCTTTGTGGCGGACAAGAACACTAGAACAAAACTGGGGACAAGCTGCATATGCAGCATATACAGTACATATGCAGCATATACAGTATATACCAGTACACAGCATACATGTATACAGTACATACCAGTACACAGCATACATGTATACAGTACATACCAGTACACAGCATACATGTATACAGCTGTAGCATAATGTACATGTAGCTCCACTGCTCTTGTTCTCTCCATTCGCAGGATTCGGGCTTGACCGTGGGGACATGGGACATTTTCAGTGCCTCTGAGCATACTGCTGAATACATACATGTACCCGTGTTGAAAGTTGACAGCTGAATAACAGTATGCACAGTGACAGCAAGGTTATGATGAGTTCGGGCTGCTTGACTGCATGCAGTCGTGCTGGGACATCACTTCACGGCCATGCGGTAAAATTGGTAAAGCAGGGCGAACAGGAATGGAAATAGGATTGCGAGACCGAACAAGCTTAGCCGGTCTTCACATACCCAATATGCGCACCAGTGACAAGTATTTATTTATTTTTTAAAGATTGCATCCGTTTCATCTCAGAACTACCAAGCCAGCTGAAGAACACAAGTATCATGTCGCAGCATCGTTTCCCGCAACACGTACCTGTATGCGACCATTCACGGACAGCCCGCGCCCATACTCGTCCAGATCAGATCAGAAAGCTATCAATTTATCTCACTAAGCGAATTTCAAAATTTAAAAAAACATCCGGCATAGATACCGCACTATTATAAGAAAAGCACACGCAATTGCAGTATGTCACGACCACAGTGGTATGTTTGCACTGTTATCGCAACGTTGAGCATACACGTACAGCTAAGCTAAACTCCAAGCAAGGACCGACATGGCTAGGGACATCCGCTGATAAAAAGTGGAGCATTACAGGCCGGAAAGTTCTGAAGTGCCCCCTGACTGCGAAGTGGGAGCATCAGCATAGGGGATTTCCCTAGGGTATAATGAAGAGAGAACATTATCCATCACCAATAAGAGATTGGCGATACGGGGTAGATGAGCTACGGTGCAGGCACTGGCTCCAGGGGCGTAGCCAGGATTGTGGCTGAGGGGGGTGCTCACTGGAAGTGTGGGCCTGCGCCCGAAGGCCGCGAAAATTGGGGGGGGGGGGTCCGGGGGCCCTCCCCCGGAAAATTTTTCGATATTGAGTGCCAAATCCTTCATTTTTGCATCTATTTCATTATTTTCCATTCCACCAATGATTCAATAAAAAGTCAGATAATCGTATGAAACGCACAGTACTTTGCTACAGAAGTTGGATGGTAAGAGATTGACAGGGTGTGGTTAGACCCAGAATATAATACAGACAATTGTTGAAATTTTTGAGGGGGGTGCTTGGGCACCCAAAGCACCCCCCCTGGCTACGCCACTGGGCTCAGCAGGCAAGGAACCCAACACTGCAGCTTACGTGGCTGTGACGGGACAACGGTTGATATGCTCCACCTGCGCGTGACAAGGACAGACTGCGTGGAAGCAGATGGCGTAGAGCATCGAACAGGCAGGACACGATCACTGCCTTTTCTTCTGCACTTTCTTGCTGGTGCCTGAGCTGGGTGAACCACGGCTCATGGATGAGGTGGCTCGCAGCAGAGACTTGAACAGCTGGAGCAACCTGTACAAAGAATACAGGAAAAAGTGAATAACAGGCACGTGCATGGAAGCACGCTGGGGGCCCAGCCATCGCATACTATGTCAATACTGTAGAATCATGCTGCCAGCATGTCAGATGATTACCACTGTGAACTCAGCTTGAGACACTGCTGACAGTTTCACAAGACTGGGATTGATTACAGCCACACAACAATTGTGTAGGCGATGACCTGCACAAAGTGAAAGTCAACGGCATGATTATCACCACGGCAAGGTTTTCTGACCAAAACTGACCATACATGTAGCAATGGATAGCACTTAGGTGTACACCGTACAGTGAATGGTGAGTTGCTGCTGGTCATGCTTCAACAGGAGATGTCCCTTCATTTAAAAATATTGGTCACATGCATAAATGGGTGTATGTTCGTTTTAACACAAGAGCTACACAAAGGAACGCAGGGCTTTTTGCTGTAACTCCGAGTTGTCATGGTAATAACCAATCATCAGACAACCTGATGTCTGCTGATTGGTTGTTACCACGGCAACTTTGTGTTATGACAAAAAGCCCTACGTTCCTTTGTGTATCTGGTGTGTACTACACTCTGGCCATCACGGACATTGAGCACTCTAGCAGGTCAAAGCACACTGCATCCATGTTTGTTTTTCAAAGGTTGCGCCCATAGCCACACTGTGAGAGGATGCTACACTGGGAGAACACTGCATACAATACATTGCACTCAAGTGCGAACATACGCACCAAATCGACATTGTCATTTTGAAACTCTGCAACACCTTACATGTACGCGGTCACAAAGACGCCGGTGAAGAGACCGGCAAAGCAGAACCAGAAGACGTGCACGGGCTGCGGCTTGGAGACTACCGGCGGACACTTTGCCACAGTCTGCAGACAACAAGAAACATTGTGCATACATGAAATACATGAAGTGCATATAACCATTCTACATGTGGTAAGTAAAATAATTTTTCTAAGAAATACATGAAAAGACAATCTGCGAGGAGACAATACTTTAAATTAAAGCTTTGAATAGAACGAAGGCCGCAGGCATCACCACACAACATGTAACTTGTTCGAAATGTAGGTGTACATGTATTGTTATTTATATACGGAATCGATTACTGGTCAGGGCCGGCGCCACTGGTACGGCTGGTATGGCCATAGCCACACCAGTTTTATCAATCCCAGCTTCACAGATTGTTCGTGTATGATCAATTAAGTGGAAATAACGACTTAACTATCCTCACTACTGAGTCGCCCTCCTAACCGATTCTTCGTGTCTTGTGAACTACTGTGCTAACTGCATACAATGGACTTGAACCTGTAGCTAGCGGTATGTATAGTGTATAGCCAGAACAACCAGGTGTGGTGCAGCATAGACCTAGAGGTGCATCGCTCCATGACACAAAATGGGGCTGGGGGGAAATGATCGGCCCTGCAGTCGACCTGGGGCCGTACCACCCCTCACTGAGGAGCTGGCTCCAGGGCCTGCTGTTCCGATCATCAGTGGAATGTACGAAACTAAGGGTAACCAATGAAAGAACTAAGTTCTAATTCACATCACAAAATACAATTCAAACACATACGTGCCAGCAGGCAAAGCTCACCGAACTCAGCTCAGAAACGGTCACTGGGTATGAGAACTCCACACCATCAGCACTGTGTGCATTGAAGGTCACCTTGCCCTGCGTCATGTGACACACACACCAGAGAAGAACACAAAGACAGTGTATATACATGTACATGTACGTACACACACACTGTCAATCGAGAGCACTGGCCTTTTCAATGCCTAAACTGATTTCTTGGCGTTACAGAGTTTGGTACCTTGATGGTGTACAGTCACATGCTTGTGCCTACATATTTGACACAGTACATACATGTACATACACGTACATAATTTGACCAGCTGCAGGGGGGGGGGGTATATTCTTCACAACAGCCCCCCCCCCCCCCGCCCTCTCCTTGACATCCTAGATCCGTCACTGAATTACGTTGCCAACCAGAAGACATCAATAAATCCACATACTAAGCT